TAGCGGTACCGGCCACCAAGTGCGCAGTGAGACAAGTGTAACTGCCTTAACGAGTCCCCTCCTCCTGAGACTGGAGTCCAACCTCTGCCCCTCCTCATGGGGCTGAACTTCCCATCTGGCTTCTGCTTTTGCTTTATGAGTCAGGAAAAACGACACGAAAGCCCTTGCTTCTGAGCGATCTGTCCAGAGGCCCCAGGCCGTGGATGGGTGGCTGAAGCGTCTGGGGTCGGGCAGCCCCGCCCTCAATGGCACGGACGGCTCGTAAGCCCAGCGCCCTCTGAGGTTCCCTGTGCACAGTCGGGGGCCGCACAGATGAGGCCACAGCCCTTGTGACAGTCACATTCAAATCGTGACACTTGACTGCATCCAAAGAACAATATCATAATTTACTTATTAAATGCCTTCAAATATATTCATCCTTATTTTAAGAAAACGGTACTAAGTCCAAACTTGACGAAACTAGAGAATCTTGCTTAATGATCGGACTAGAACAGAAGCCGACAACACACACTGCCCTTCTCCTCACTGGTCTTCCAGACCTCAGATTCTAGTGAGGAAGACAGACTAAGCAAATAACCAGTTACAACCTCACAAAACATCTACATCGTAATTTGTTTTTTAAAAAAAAGGAAGAGATGATATCCTGTAATGACCTATAGTGGAAAAGAATCTAAAAAAGTATATATAACTGAATCGCTTTTCTGTACACCTGAAACACAACACTAAATTAACCATACTTCAATTTTTTAAAAAAAGATAATCAATGAGGAAAAAAAGGAAGAGAGAAATTCAAAATAAATCAATGACCTGACTTTAACAATACATATTTTTAAATACTGGGAGTACACAAATTAGATATTCAGTTAAAACATTATGATAAATTCTGTAATTTTTTTCAGTTTAAAGAAGTTGCTTCGTATAATGGGCTACTGCTCAACAATAAAAAATACACAACAACTGGGGTGAATCTCAGACGCATATGCTAAGTGAAAGAAGCCAGACTTTCAAATGCTACTGCTGTCGAATTACATTTATATGTTACTCTGTAAAAGGGGGAACTATGGGGTAGAACACTCCGTGATTCCGAGGGGTGAGACATGGGAGGAGAAGAGGAAGCTGTGGGGTAGGGGCAATTTGCTGAGGGATGGGCTGTCCTAAATCTTGACTATGGTGGAGGTTACAGGACTACACGCAGTTACAAAACCCGCAGAACTACAGACCAAAAAGGATGAACTTCACTGTGTGTAAGTTACATCTCAGTAAACCTGACTCAACACCAAACAGCTGATATTTTTCACTAAAATACGGAGAGTTGCCCCAAATCAGACGAAAAGAGTCTTAAGAGCGTATGTTGCCAGCCATGAAAGGGAGCCGGGTCCACAGGTTTGGGTTTTTAGGAACTTGGTTCAGAAGGTAAAGGCATGCGTTTAGAAGCTTCAATAAGTCAAGTTCTCCAACTCACTGAGTCGCATACGACCAAATGCTGATGCGAGGGAGGTAAGAATCCCAGCATTCCCGCTCCCCCCGGGGTCAACCAGCCGTTTCCCCTGGTGCCGCCCACATCTGCTCCACCAGTTCTGGCCAGCGGGCAGCATCTGGGCCAGGGCTCACCATCCCGTCGGGGCAGGAAACACCAGGCCTCTCCATTCAAGAGCGTAATTTACAGAAACCAGCTCTGTCTTTCCTCTGTCTTCCAGTTAGTTAGTGGCCTGCTTCTGAGCCAGGTGCCCGGAGTAAAGCCTGACGGGTCAGCCGCAGGCACGATGCTCACAGGATGGAGGGCTCTCAGGATGCGAAGGACAGAAAGCTAGACCAACAGCTCCCAAGTTCTGGGCTGACAACGTTCATTCCAGATGGACAGGTGCACAGTCTAAGTGGGCAAGACGATGGGATGCGGTTAAAGACCACAGTCTGCACCATGAACCGACAGCACGGGGAACCCAAGGGTTCTAGAACCAGGAGGTTAGCGCGAGGCTGCTGTCTGCCCTGCACCTGAGTTAGCCATCGCCAGCGTTAACAGCTCTGGTCATTAACGGTCTGCCTTACGTGAAGTCAAACTCTTTCTTGTAAAATGTTATTTTGACCTTTGGAACAATATAGATGATTTCTATTCCCTCTACTAAATAACAGCCTCTCAAGTGTGAAGACGAAGCTTTCAAGTTTCCACTTTAGGCCAAAGCATATACTGAAGTAGTTTCTAAGAAGTATTTACAATTGCCAACTAAACGACGTTAATTCCTTGACCGCAGTCACCAGAAGCGTCATTCTCTATCCACCATTCTCTGGTGGCCAGCAAGTCAGCCTTGGGTCATCCAGAAGCCCTAGGAGTTGAAAGGTCGCATAATCTCAAAAGGCAGATGCCAGAGGCTCTGAATGTTACACCAGCAATGGCTGGGGGGGTGGGGGGACGGCGGGCAGGGGCACTCCAGCTTCGGACACTGGGGGCACAGCCAGGGGTTAGTTCTACCCCAGAGCCAGTGGGGTAAGCAGCTCGGTCCTGCCTTCCAGAGGGAAATCAGGGGAGCCTGGCTCCTGTGACAAGAGCGGCCTCCAGGGCTGGATGCCAGCGCTACACAGCCTGATCCAATTCCCCTGATTTCAGGGCATGAAGCAGCAATGTCAGCGGCTAAAGGTCATCTCTGCAATCTCTCCCCTCCAAAAGTGAAGGACCAAGAGGCACCCACAGGTCACAGAGAAGCTGGCCAACTGGCTGGCCTGCTGTCACAGCCCTGTCCTGCGGCAGATGCACTTCCTTCCCCGACCACAGCGAGTCCTTACGAAGGACTTAGGAGTCCCACAGCGGGGCTTACGAACACGCCTGGTCCCGTTCAACTTTTCTTCTGAGAAAGTTCGTGTAGATTACAAAGACAAAATATAATTTATCTCTTTCAGACCTAAATTTAGTTAAAATTCAAACTGAAGAGCAGATATTATTGACTATGTTTAAGAACAGAGACATTCCACAAACCTTAAAATAATAAAAGAGCCTCAGAGAGGACATTTGCTTCAACCCCTTTCCCAACCATTGAAGTTTTAGTTACTTTAAACCTTGGAGTATTTGACTAGGATTTACAGAAAATAACTCGAACAGGAAGGGAGATGATGATGAAAGAACAGATATTTCTGCACTAGAACTCCTCATTCTTCACAAACCAGACCAATAAAAATAATGTTTTGTTTGATGAGTTAAGCTCATTTATTTATTTTAGAGGCTGTGGGTGATCCCTCGGTATTGAAAGAGAAATAAAAACTATTTTGTTTAGTATTTCAAACTGCAAGAGTGGTTCTCCCTTTACATGAACATACCTTGGACAGAAGAGACGGGAAAAGACAAGGGCTCCTGCTGGCACAGCATCGGGCGGCCAGGGAACAGCATCGCCAGAGCCTGTCAACAACACTCACCAGCGCATCAGGTGCTGGGACAGCACAGCGAGCTACTGGAAAGACTTGGCTGCATATTTCAAATGTGTAGCTCAGAAAAGTTCCTTGCATTAGCTAGAAGAAGGTGAACAAATACTAAAAGCTTTCATAAAGAGAGCCTATGATTTATACATCCCCACATCTTGCTATAGCTCATGCTGATCTGTCTTTGCCAAAGAATCTTCCCCAGTTGCACCCAGCAAGCCTCAGATTAACTTGAAAACATCTAACTTCTTATTCATGTAGTATTTTCCTCGGTAAGAAGTTGTGGATTTATTATTTGGTACTGTTGGAAGATATTCTTCTTCAGGTTAAAATAATGGGCATAACTGAAAAGCTGGTGGAGAAGAGAAACGATTTCTATGCACGTGATGATCATAACACTGTTAAGAAGTCTCTCCAAGCAGCACTCTCTCCTCCAAACATAAAATCCGCATCAGCTTACACCAAACGCTGAGCAAGCATCACTAAATTAGAGAAGTTAAATATTGAAGTTATACATAATTTATTAGAAGTAGCAACTGCTTAGAAGCTAAACTAAGTAATTATTCTACTTTTTAACATGTAAGGAAGGATGCTTATATTTTCACTCCACAGAACAGGAAGAAAACTTTCTCAGGGAATGTGACTTTAGACATTAAATTCAAAAGCGTCTGCCTTTGTTGCCTCAGTGGCCTTTGTCACCTGTGACTGGGGGAGTTGGCAAAGCCACCGAGAGGGAGGGGGATTTATCAACGAGCTGCAGCCGGGGGTCACACTCACAACCGCTAGTTTCTCGGAACACACGGGAAAACTCGCCACAGGAAAAACTCTAGCAAGTCAAAAAGAAAATGTTTTAGGATTTCAGCTTAGACGGTATATTTTTCCTATTTGTTTTAGTACATTTTTGTGTGTAGGATGAGTGGACTGGAAACAGCACCCACAAACGCTTGGCTGTAAACCCTGAAGTGTTATGTAATGTGTCCACATAGTAATTCCTCATATCACACTTCCAAACACAGGAAAACGTGTGTGTGTGTGTGTATGTGTGCGTCTTCCAATATAATAGGGGCGGGAGGGGAAGTCTCCTGGTGATTTTATTCAACAACTCTAAATTTACATGAAGTATCTGGGTAGCTTTTTTTTAAAAGAACTTTTGTGTAGCATGAGAATGGGCTATTTTATACTAGTGATTTAAAGATTCTGACACCTCCTAGAAGCTTTTAAAACATCATATACATTAAAATCCCTCCTAAGTAAAGATTTAGACGTGCTCTCCTTTGCTTCAGCTCATGCAGTGAGGACACCTGCATGTGTACGTCTAAACAGCACAGAAGGTGGACAGTGTATAAATCCCTCTACCTTTGGCATTATTGTAAAGCACACACTTATCAATAAAATGCAAACATGTCACATGCATGTGACTCCCTTCATATCTGTGTTTGTAAGAACTTCACAAATCACCAACCTGTAAAGTTAGGAAAAAATAAAAAACAAGCTGGGTAACATATTTTCTAGTGTGTAGCCTTAAAAAGACATTAACCAATTTCAAACAAATTAGCCAATAAACCAACACGAAAAAAGTGGTCATTTTCAACTGATAAGATTAAATCATCTATGAGAGGCAGGTCATTAACATTTTATTTATGAAAAAAATTTTAAGTCACTTTTTACAAAAATAAGGAATATGTTCCCTAGTTTATTATCAGTTCAAAAACAATCGGAAGAAGATGAAACGTGTAGATTTGCGTTACTTATACGACGTTTCTTATTCGTTGGTCTTTTACTGCATAGGAATGGCACCTCGATTAATCTTTCAAAGCAGGGATTCCGGAAGCTATAGTTAACCTCTGTATTAGAAAAAAAAGACAGGAATTTCAATGCAATGTATCTAAATAATGTAGTTCCTAACAGCATTTTTAAAAACAGAAGTATAAATTTAAAGAACCGTGACAAAGGAAAAACGATGAATTAATAAAATAGCATTCCACTCTTATTTTCTAAGATTAGAAATAGTAAATTATTTATTTTTACTACAATTAAGAACATTTTAATGATCAGACAACCGGGCAAAGCTATGAAGCAGTGGGTCAGTCTATGGCGACATGGATTTTTCTTTTTACACAATGGACGTGAGCGTGTAGCAGGGGGTGGGAACAACCCTACAATCCCCATTCCCGGTCTTCATCCATTTAGGAGTGTTTACTACATGTGGCAAAGGTAGATTTGCTGGTGATGAACTCGGGATAAAATGGAAAAAATGTGAACCTTGACCTTCTTAACACCACTTAAAAATCAGAACCAGGCCCCTCCATACACCACCCCACGGCCTTCAGCTCGACACACTGGAAACCTGACCCCTCGTCCGGGCAGAAAGGATGCTTGTCAAACTCCAGCTAAGCGGCAACCCCGCGGCGTCCCCCACTCTGCTGCCTCGCCCCCGCCACCAGAAGACAGAGAGATTCTTCTAAAGAAAGCCCAATTTCATATGGATTCTAGAGTTTACAACACTGTCTGACGTAAGAACTATTTTTGCCTTGTTTTCAAAGTTCATTTGCAAAACATATCACAGAGGATATAAATCTGGACTCAACAAGAAAGAACGTTTACATTTTTATTGCTGGAGCATAGAAACTCCACCATCTGTGTTCACTGGGTCCCTCTTCATGCGTTATCATCTAAACCCACCGAAGTACCCTAACTTCATCGCCCCCCTTCAGACGTCAATTGCTTTCTGTAAGAAATGTTTCTCAACTACGTTTCTTTATAACCTTTCTTCCCTGTTTTGCCCTTGATTATAGAAACTTTTATTTTACGTCTCCTCTCTCACGTCTTAAACCTGGTAGATTTGCAACAGCCGAAAGAGCAGTAGCAGAGGGGACAACAATTCTGTAAAATGCAGCACATGCACAACTGATCTGTGTTTATTTCCAAGAGAAACAGAGATGCCCGAAAATGCCTGTTGTCCTCTATTTTTCCAAACTTGAAAACCTGAAACTAGGCAAAAATGAGGTGAAATTTCGCAACAAATTGAGCTAAGGTGATAAAATCCATGGGGAAAGAGGAGGAGGAGAAGATTAAATGACATTAAAAAATATCCAAGTCTTCATTTGATTAACTTTAATCTAATTAGAAAAAGTCACTGCTCGGTTCCCAACCAAACAAGGAGGCCTCAGAAGGTTTATGTAAAAAGGAAAAAAAACAAGGTTAGAGCAGCAAAAATAATGCTGAATTAAAGCACTCGGAGGCCGACGGCTTTGAACCTGGGCCCCACCAGCCCTGTAGCCGGCGAGGCCGTCTGCAGAGGCCCGGCTCCTGCTAACAGAGCCCCCATTGTTTCCAGAGGCAGCGAGAAAAACGCTGCTTTACATCTGCCCACACCACAGCCCCGAGAAAGGCGGCCGAGGGTGCGCAATCCCCGGGAAGGAGAAAAATGCGGGGTTACACTCAGCCCCTCCCCCCTCCCTGCCATCCCCACTCACACAGAAAAACACACCTTTCTGCTAGAAACTACCTGAGCTCCACTCCTGGCACGCAGGCTGCAGCAAAGGATGTTACGGTGGCGCATGATGTATACCTGGAAATTTCTGATTCATGTGGCATTGGGCATTTCTCTGCCCTCTACCCACCGCCCCTCCGCCTGCACCTCAGCTCACGCCTCGGCCGGTGCGGCCTGGCAGCCCGGAGAAGAGCCCGCATCTGGGGGGGGTGCGGTGCTTCCACACCTGTTCAGAATGTCTGTGCAGTAGTTAAGGATGAACGCTTACTCCAGACCAGACAAACAGTAGACAGTGCATGTGTGGATATGCATATATGAATGGGCAATGTGGCCGGGAACAAAGGGTTTACTGTGTGAGCTGAATCAGTGCAGGGGACACGCTTTAAAAAAGCTGGAGCTTCACAGAGTTTACATTACAGACGGGAAAAGAGGCCTAAAAATGTTAAGTGCTTGGAGCTACTGCGGGCCGTGCAGAAGGCGGGTCGTCGGGCGCGAGCAGGACCCGGTTTTCAGTGAAGGGCAGGCCTCAGCCACCAGACCAGCAAGTCCACGGCCACTTGGACTGGCCTCTTGAAGTTCAACGACAAACCCTGCCGAGATCACAGCGAGGAACACACCTGAGAGCTTTTTAAAATCGTTCTCTATAATATACGGGTTTTATTCCTAACTTTGGAAAAGGCAGAGCTGGGAGGTGTCTGGTTGGGAGCTGGGGCCGCAGGCTGGGGACTCAGGCGGCCGCTCTGCTGCCCTGACAGGACAGCCTGCTCGGGTCCTTTCCAGAAAGAAAAACCACCCAGCACAGCAAACTCACAGGATGATAACAGAAATGCATGTTTGGTTTATACTACACTAACAGTTTCGGTAACTTTCGAATTAGCACCACCCCCAAAAAGCAGTTAACAAAGCATCCGTGTTGTCCTTCAGTTTCTGCAAAACTCTGCTTCAGACAAGTCGCGTGGATACATTCAGCCACGTTTCTCAATTTACTTACAATAATTTTACAGAATCTGTGTGTTTCCTTCTATGATTTTAATTCGGGTGAATTCTCCAATACATGGAAAAATGACTTTGAACTCAAAAGCATAAATTGTAACAATTTTTAAGTTGAAATATCCACACACTGCATTTTTAAAGGGCATGCTAATACAGTCAAAATAAGGGACACTTTAAAACAGTGGTTAAATCAGCATCATAAAATAAGCCTTACAAGTTTTCTACAAAGTTTTTTTCCTCTCTGAAATGTTAATGAAGACATATCTTATTTATACTATTATAGGGTAATACAAGCAATTAGGCACGAGTCTTAAGAGGTAACAGTAAGGTTACGTCTGACAGATTTGATAGTGTTTGTGGGCAAATACAGACAGAAATAATTTTGACAAATCTAGAATCCATCCATCTGGATTTTACAACACAACTCTGTGCACTCAGACCACCAGAACACTTTACATCCTAAGGTCCACTCAGCCTAAAAACGGAAAACTCAAAGCCTTCCCTAATTATTACACGAGAAGGTCTCTACCACAAAGATCCTTAGAAACAAGTGGACACGCATCTTAGATACAGATCAAGGTATAAGAGGAAATTTCCCTTTACTGCTTGAGTAACTTTGAATTATTCATAAGTATGAGTCAAAGATGTTTAATAAAAATAAGTCAGTAAATCAAAAGAAAATTCTGAGAAAACAAACCAGAATAAAAGTTAAAGTTGGTGAGAGGTGAAACTAAAAGAAAACCCACGTTCAGGAGCCCTGACAAGGGAAGGCAGAATGTCTGCAGGTGGAAGAAACATCCTGTTATTTCATAGGTGTTTTCTCCCCAGGGAGGCCACTCTAGGAGTGCCGGGTCCCAAGAGTTCACCTTATCTCCCAATATCTGTTCTGCAATCAGGAGCTGTTCACCCATAAATGTACTCACCAGTCTATGCTAGGTGGGTAACCAGGTCACCTGGGAAACACTTTCCTGTGTTGATGGGGTGAGTATACAGATGAGCAGGGGGGCAAGTGGGGATCTGGACTGAAAGCACTTAGTGTCATAAACTGAGTGCATTCCCATCACGAGACCGCCTCAACCCCAGGGGACAAGAACGATGGAAGGAAATTGAGAACACGGCTTTGCAGAGCACCGAGGTGGGCATTTTTACATCCCTTCCTTCATTTAATAGTTTGAAAGGCTCTTTGAGTTAAAGAACTTTACAGATGATGAAATTCATCTCGGAGGTGTCACACGGGACAGAGCTGGGGGTCATTCCTGAACCTCTGACTTCAGTTGAGGGCTCTTTCCGGACCCTCTGCTACCAAGGTTGTAAGCAGATGTTGAGTAGCTGTAGAATGTACAGGAATATATGGCATAGACTGTGTATCCAGATACTTAATATCCAGGAAAGTAGCTCTGTAACCAGAATCGTAGAAAGCAGTAATTGTGTATTACTGGAAATCAGGAGTACAAAGGTACAAACCTCGAGTTATATAAGTAAGCACTGGGATGTGATGCACAGCACAGTGACCACAGGCAACAGGGCTGGGTGGCACATCGGAAAGCTGCTAAGAGAGTAGATCCCAGAAGTCTTCACCACAGGGAAAGAAAACCTTTTCTCGGGATCTACGTGAAATGACGGATGCTAACTTTCTGTGGTGATCATCTCACACGGATGTTGTGATCAAGTCATTGCACTGCACACTTTAAACTCATACACGGCTGTGTGTCAAGGACATCTCAATAAAACTGGGAAAAAAGAGGAATCGAGAGTAGATTCCGTATGAATATTTAAAATTTCAAATGTTCGTTTAAAATTAATTACTCATAATTCACATGCACTGTCCTTCTAAAAGTGATTTAAGGACACCTTGTAACGTGAATACCCACAACTGAAACAATAACATGAGAAGGAGATATTGAGAAAGGGAGCTGACACCACGTCGTGACAGCAGTACGGACGTCGGGCCCCTCTCGGTCCCCAGCAGATGGGCAGCTGCCGCCAGGAGGGGCCCCGGGCGGCGCAGTTCCCAGGATGCTCTGCTCTGGCATGGGCACAACCAGGAATGCTTTCAAGGGTGCCTCTGTAGATGCTCACGTGTTCCCTCGGTTTCTGTCCTTTGTGTTTTAAGGGCACCCTTAGAGAAGGCAAAGGCCCCCAGAGATCAGCCCAGCGCAGGCACATGTGATTCAGGCGCGCACTCCCTGGCCAGCTAACCTGAGGCTGCAAAGAAGAGCCGGGCAGGGGTCTTTCTTTTTGCAGCAATGATTTCAGACTCTCTCTGCTCTTGGCAGAGGCTGGAGGGCTGCGCAGATCTCGCAGGTGGGGTACGTGGGTGTCCTGAACTGGCCATCCAGGCCCCGGCCACGGCCATTA